TGTTACACTTGTGACGATGAGGTTGGGAAGTGGGAGCCATATACGAACATGTTGTAGCAGTATTCTTGCATAAGTGGCACCCACTTCCCTACAGTGTTGAAATGCAGGGTTCCTTGTTTGTTTGCTGTTCGTATTGCATTGCATCTCTCTCTGTCTGTCTGTCTGTCTGTCTGTCTGTCTCTCTGTCTCTCTCTCTCTCTCTCTCTCTCTCTCTCTCTCTCTCTCTCATTCTCTCTCATTCTCTCTCTCTCTCTCTCTCTCTCTCTCTCTCTCTCTCTTTCTCTCTCTCTTTCTCTGTCTCTCTCTCTCTCTGTTATACTTGTGACGATGAGGTTGGGAAGTGGGAGCCATGTGTGAAGACGTTGTAGTCGTATTCTGGCGTAAGTGGCACCCACTTTCCAACCATGTTGAAATGCGCGGTTCCTTGTGTGTTTGTTGTTCATATTGCGTTGCATCTTTCTCTCTCTCTCTCTCTCTCTCTCTCTCTCTCTTTCTCTCTGTCTCTCTCTTTCTCTCTTTCGATTTTTTTTTTTTTCTCTCTCTCTCTCTCTCTCTCTCTCTCTCTCTCTCTCTCTCTCTCTCTCTCTCTCTCTCACTTGTGACGATGAGGTTGGGAAGTGGGAGTCATCTACGAAGACGTTGCAAACGTATTCTGGCGTAAGTGACACCCACTTCCCGACCGTGTTGGAATGTGGGGTTCCTTGCGTGTTTGTTGTTTATATTGCATGGCATCTCTCTCTCTCTCTCTCTCTCTCTCTCTCTCTCTCTCTCTCTCTCTCTCTGTTACACTTGTGACGATGAGGTTGGGAAGTGGGAGCCATATACGAAGACGTTGTAGCCGTATTGTGGCGTAAGTGGCACCTACTTCCCAACCGTGTTAAAATGTGGGGTTCCTTGTGTGTTTGTTGTTCATATTGCATTGCATCTCTCCCTCTCTCTCTCTCTCTCTCTCTCTCTCTCTCTCTCTCTCTCTCTCTCTCTCTCTTCCCCCCTTCCCCCCTACTCACACATAGAGACCAATGTTCGGGAACAATCACATTTAAACGTTCTGTATACATTATAAATGTTTTGAGTCATTGACTTGTAACTGAAACGTTGTATATGTCATGTAGCTTTGCAATGACACCCCGCCGCAGGTATGAAGATGTTACATCGTCCTTGAAGCACCGAGAGGAAAGACATCCACCAGCACGGATGAGTCAAGGCACTGTGGTAAGGAAAAAGAAGGTAAAATTCCAGCAAAAGTCAAATGAAAGAAGCAAGACATCACTGTTGATTAAGCCACGCGTGGACCGTACAGTGGTTCCGGTTCCGCCGCAAGCAAACAGGTCTGACGCAAAACGTCGGGACCTGCAAGAGTGGGCCCCCACCTCTCCCGCATTCACGAAAGATCGCATGCGACAGGAGCATTCTCCGCCACATGCGCCAAAGAAAAAGTCATACGGACATCAGACATGTGAAGAGGACGAGAACCATTGAAAAAGAATGGGAAGAGAAGGTGACAATCGATCTGAGGGGATCCGAAGGTGTCGAGGCTGCTGAGAGCGAAAAACGAGATGTATCACGGGACGCAGAAGTTAAGGACCACATGACCGACAGTGAAGAATATGATGAGACAGAGGACGGTGAAGGAGGTAACACGGGCACATTGAACGAAGAACAATCGTATGGAGAAGATGAGAACAACGAAGAGGAGGACAGTCACAATGGGTATAACAACACAGAGGATGATGATGACAAGGATGATGATGACAAGGATGATGATGACGAAGAACCATCCCAAAGCAGTAGGACGGAAGAAAGGCGTAGCGAGGACAATAAGAAAAAGACGTATCAAAAAACGCAAGGAGGAACAAGTGATACAGGCACAGAGGAAAGCAACGTCGACAAATAGTTAGTTCTGAAGGAGAAGGCAATTGAAGGACGTAAGTAAACAATGTATGAGATAAATCAAAACCTCTGATGAAAATGATCAGTTGACATGTTGTTTTGCTGGAACTATTGTCATCACCTGCCGGTAGTGCAAAATGGTAGTGAAATGTTAACTAGTTTTTCGATAACGAAATCTGAGATAGTCTTGAATATGTATGTGCGGTTGTGGTTGTTTCTCTTACCAAACGAATGTATGTGAGTGACGGATACCAACTTCGAACTTCTGGTTGTTATACACGTTGTTGCAGGCTGCCAGATTTTACAAGGAGGGAGACATTGTCAAAAGAAGGTGAAAAAGGTCAAGCATTGGGCGGGTGGCATGCGAGACGAATGCGACTTATTCGGAAAAAGGCAAAAAGATAGACTGTTAAGGTCCGTTGCAAAAGCTTTTGTGCACTCGACAGCGAAGGATGCAGCATTTTACCCTTCAGAGAACCACTTCTTCAATGTGTTGCAGTTGACTTCTAACCTTTAGGAGAAGATGTGAGGGTAGGATTCGGGAAGTATGTAGAGGACAATGGTGTGCGGTATGTGCTTATAGAGTGCAACCGAATGATGACAACATTCCGTGGAGAGTTGACTTGGCACTTGAGATACTGGTTTTGGGCAGAGAGAGGTCTCTCGCTCGTACGTGGCACGCAGTCGGATCACAATAACACCGCCCGAAACGATATTCGTAGCCAAATGAATAAAGACAAGACATGGAGAAGGAAGGGCGACGAGCCATGGGAAGTAGAACATTTTAAGAGGGCACTCACAAAAGTCTTTCAAATAAGAAGAGATGACGGAAAGTTTGGCGTGACCTTGCAGCAACTAGTGTTTACCGAACTTGTGATTCGCAGACAAAGAAGTCAAGCAAGACGTCGGATCAGTTGCTGAAAATGACCGCTATTAAGAACGACATACTCAATACAGCACGGAACCGATACATAGTTATGAGTTTCTGCATTTTTAAGCTCGACCGCGACACACGTGTGGCAGATGTGGCAACACAGTACTACAATGTAGGCAATAGAAAGACATGGAAAAGTGCAGTCGAGGACAAGGGCAACACAGTACATGACTTTGAATTCGAAGTCTTAGTCCCGCAGACGCAACCGCAAGCTTCATGCGCAGGACTTTGAAAAATTTTTCCTTGACTGACACTTTTCTTATGCTGACGGATAGGACATGACTCAAGATCTCGTGGGATTGCATGCCTGCAACTCGTATCACAATGACACGTCTATTTCTAGAGAGAGAGAGAGGGAGAGAGAGAGAGAGAGAGAGATAACGAGACACAGAGAGAGAGAGAGATACAGTTTTGAAGTGTGGACACAAAGAATTTAGCGCGGATCTCGTGCGAAAAACCGAGTTACTATGGTTGGGGTAGGCAGAGTTGCTTGGTGGGTGTCACTTCTTATGACAGCGGTGCCTTAATGTCATTATATGGCCCCCTTTACATAACCATTTGGCTGGAAGTTGCCTGCAGTTGGGAAAGGAAAACAAAGCAAGACTCGCGTAACTGTGGAGAGAGAGAGAGAGAGAGAGAGAGAGAGATGAAATGAGAGACAAAGACACTCTATTTATGGATGATTTTGACATCAATTATTCTTCGTGGACATAGAAGTAATTGTTTGTTCGTGTTCCTGAGATAGGTAACGGCTTCGTACATGGCTCCCACTTCCCAACCTTATCGTCGCAACTGTAACAGAGAGAGAGAGAGAGAAAAAAAAAAAAAAAATGCAATGCAATATGAACAGCAAACACACAAGGAACCCCGCATGACGATGAGGTTGGGAAGTGGGCGCCACTTACACCAGACTACGCCTACAACGTCTTTGTATATGGCTCCCACTTCCCAACCTCATGGTCACAAGTGTAACAGAGAGAGAGAGAGAGAGAGAGAGAGAGAGAGAGAGAGAGAGAGAGAGAGAGAGAGAGAGAGCGGTAATTGAAGGGAGGGAGAGAAAAAAAAAACGTGGGTAGATAGATAGATAGATAGATAGATAGATAGATAGAGAGATAGTGAGATAGAGAGAGAGATAGATAGATAGATAGATAGATAGATAGATAGATAGATAGAGAGAGAGAGAGAGAGAGAGAGAAAGAGAGAGAGAGAGAGAGATGAAATGAGAGACAAAGACACTCTATTTATGGATAATTTTGACATCAATTATTATTCGTGGACAGTGTTCGTGTTCCTGAGATAGCTAACGTCCTCGTATATGGCTCCCACTTCCCAACCTCATCGTCAGAACTATAACAGAGAGAGAGAGAGAGAGAGAGAGAGAGAGAGAGAGAGAGAGAGAGAGAGAGAGAGAGAGAGATGCAATGCAATATGAACAGCAAACACACAAGGAACCCTGCATGACGATGAGGTTGGGAAGTGGGCGCCACTTACACCAGAATACGCCTACAACGTCTTCGTATATGGCTCTCACTTCCCAACCTCATCGTCACAAGTGTGGGTGGAGAGAGAGAGATAGAGGGGGGTAATTGAAGGGAGGGAGAGAGAGAGAGAATGTGGATAGATAGATAGATAGATAGATAGAGAGATAGATAGAGAGAGAGAGAGAGAGAGAGAGAGAGAGAGAGAGAGAGAGAGAGAGAGAGAGAGAGAGATGAAATGAGAGAGAAAGACACTCTATTTATGGATGATTTTGATATCAATTATTATTCGTGGACATAGAAGTAATTGTCTGTTCGTGTTCCTGAGATAGCTAACGTTTCGGCATAACCCTTCATCCTCTCTTATTGTAATGGTTACAGCTAGCATGTATACATGATGTCCACTTGAACAATGTGTATGAGAGTGTCAGTGTACCCTCATTGTATGTGTGTCTCGGGGGGAGGAGTCACAAGCTTGGGATTAAAGTATGTTCATCTTTTCTTTGTTGTCTGGAATGGAGGCACCCTGTTTTACCTCTCTCTCTCTCACTCCAATCGAAGTCTGTATTAAGGGTTACCAATAAAGGTGTGCRCTCACTTATAAAAATAATAATTCTCTCCTCAAACAAGCAGTCTCATTCCCGATCCCCAACGAACATCACGTATATTTGACTATGAGTGAGTCACGGAATTTATCGACCGGAATGCTCCCCTCTGCTCCAAAGGGACACATGCATGCATGAATATGAATAGAGAGGTCTTCGACAGGCAAACACCATAAATCTAAACATAACACCATCACATTTCCAACACGATTCATCACACCACCATCACGATTTCCAACATAAAGTCCTGTGTTCAACTGTTGATCAACAGTTTACCAACACATAGTTCAACCTTCCAAACGCAGTTCAACAGAATATAAACAGATTCTCAACAGTTTACCAACACAAAGTTCAACTATTTATCGTGTCACTTCATGTGGACTACATAAGTCACGCACGTTAGTTTCCTTCACTTCCTGTTGAGCATGGTGCATATGCCAGGATAAACAGTTGAAAAACAGTTGTTCGGGGGTGAGGCCCCACGAAAAAAAAAAAAAAAAAAAACGGCGATAATTTTTTTTTTGTTGTTGTACATGCACTTAGCACATCTTCCCGTCCGCTTTGTCGTCTGCGGTATTTCGCTTCAGCGCAATCTCTCGACTGCATAGTAGGCTGCTCGACAACTTCAACCGCCTCTGAGAAAACTTTGAAGGGAAAATTGGTCAATAACCGATCCGACTAGTCCTTCACCTCTTTACCCAAGTCTGACGAACAGCTAGCCCATCAGTACTGCAACGACCTCCTCCCGAATCCAACAAGTGTTAGCACCCTAGTATTGTTGCGACCTCGGCCACAGTGCTTAGTGCCACTCCGCCCGACAGTACTGCGTGCGGACCCGGCTCCTTTCCAAAGCTAGGTTCATAAAAGCGCAGCCTACGACGAGCAAGTCGCCCCTTAGCACAGGCTGCGCTAATCTTCTCTGTATCGTTCCAATTTTAACGGATGTCCTGAAGGACGCAGGCGGGGCAAGCCTCTGCGGGACTATCAGGAGGCTGAGCGGCTCCCGGACCCAACTTGAGCTCTTCTTTTAACGGGCGTGGCTGCACTTATTGAGCCGGCCCCGCTAATGCCACAACCAGTCCCAAAGGGCCAAGGTTGCGGCCACAACCTTAAAATATCATTATCGGCATTGGCCGGCCTCAGGTAAATTAGAAACGTAGTGTTTTACTCGTTTGCACCCACGGAGCCCGAACTCAAGTCCGCACTCCAACAACTCAGGGATGTATCAACTACACTAGGCTTGTCGGCTTGAGTATCTCGCCAATCCCGGGCTTGGTATCAAAACTGGTCCCTATCACGGAGGAAGACGGGAAATAAAATATAAATAATCATAGGTAAAAAAAAAAGGAAAAAGGGGGGAGGGGGACCTCTGATACCACCATCGTTTGTATCGATAGACCCACGTCGTGCGGCAAATAATAAAACAAAGGGGGATAGCCACGTCGTGTCCTCAAACCCTCGATTTCTTCACGCTACTCCATTACTCCTACACCGTCGCCCAGTGATCTTGATACCTGAGTCTCCCAGATGAAAGTTCGCTACCGTAATCAATCGTGCTAGGCCCAAGACTAAGCCTAACACTAGCGGACACCTAAATAAGCGGATATTGTGTGACGCGCAGGTCTACCGAAATGTTTTCAAAAATCATATTGTCGTCAATGTCGTCCTCCGTACGTACGCACAAGTCACAGGCAAACGCACCAATCAGGGGACAAAATCTTTTTAATCCTAACTTAATCATAAATAAAAATTTGGTCGGCGATCACGTCGGCTTTTCAATCATCGATAATCAAAAGATCACATGCGCCTCAAGCTTGCGCACCCACACACTCACTACTCTAGTCAACTATTCAGTTAACGTAAACTACATACGCTACCGCGACTCGCGCGGTATACTTAAACTTTACACTAAACTTATTTTCCGTCATCTGCAAGAACCAGGGCAGATACCCTTGTAAGGGTATTTGCACCGACATCGTTGATCTCCTAAGTATGAAGCAGACGCCGGTCGACTAGGACCGTCTCAACTAAGCGTGAAACCCCCAACTCAATCCTAG